CCTGTGTTAAACTAGGACCCAGAGTAGGCCCTTATTCCCTTTTTTTAGGGTTGAGGTTCCCTTATAAACCCCTTTAAACCAAAAAGGGCACCCTTTTTCTTCCTAGGTTACTCTTAGGTCTAGTAAAAATCGCCAGTGTCGGTCAAGGCTCACCTTTACAACGCCTTTTGCGCGGCGACTGGATGAGCTTCTCGGATTTTTTTGCAGGTGCCCCAAGCTAGGTATCGATTTGGGCTATTTCTGTTTTTAGTGTTTCTAACATATATATATATATATACAGACCCCTGTAACCAAGTATATATAAGTATGTTTATATATATATATACCGACACCTAGTGAACTTCATGAACCCTAAACTGCTTTGACTAGGGCCATGATTAGGGGTCTTCTAAGTATTTCTAGCGTGTCCCAGGCATCCCGAAGCCCACACCCCTAAAATCCAAGGCTTGCGGGCATAATTCTAAGACCCCAAACCTCAACATTCCCCGTCCCTGGCCCAAGGCCGACAGGATTGACCTTGTCCATAAAGGATCAAGGGACTTAGTAAGTAGGGTTGTAAGTAAGCTAACTTTAAATATATCTCCTTATAACCCCATTAAGGTGCCTATAATCCTATTGACTAACCCCCCTGATCCTCTAAGTAGACCCTCAACCCTAAACCCTTATAGTACTTAGTACCCCTATGGATCCCTTCAAAGAACCCTATAGATCCCTTTACAAGACCCCCCTGAAGGTCCAAGTACCCAAACAGTAGGGTTTCAAGGTCCAAAAACCCATTCAGAGTATGGATTTTGGGACCTGAAACCCTACTATTTGGGTACTTGGATCCTCTGGGCCCGTTTAAAGGAACCCTCGAGGGTCCTTTTCGTAGGCATAATTTCATGTCCCGGGTCCGGCCCGCAGCATCCCAGAGCCTCCAAAACCCCTTAATTAAGGAATACCTAGGGGTTCCTTAAAGGGCTCCTTAAAGGGATCTATAAGGGGTCTATAGGGGAATTAAGGAATATACCTTAAATTATAATAGGATCCCTTATATGATTTAAGGTAGATTCCTTAATTAAGGGGTTTTGGAGGCTTTGGGCAAGACCACTCATGGGCTTTCAGTATCTATAGTCTCCATTGTAGTTCCCTTTTTTTGGTTAACCAGTGTTATGGTTAGGATCTTATAGTATCGTTTTTGGTTAGCCAAAAAAGGGACTACAATGGAGACTATAGGTAAGGTCTGCACATGTTCAGATTCTGTGGGACGGTTATACGAGCATTAATTTGCTGGAACTCGGGAAGAGTTTCAGTGTCTTGTTTTGGCAGCGCGAGCCTTTCTAGCTGAGACACGCATTCACACAACGCGGAGAACCATTATTCCGAGATTCATGCAACTCCGGGGAGGAAGCGTGCTGATAGCCTCAGCTTCTGTAGCTCTGCTTGTTGGAGATGAAAAAGCCAAATAATACTAACAAAAACCAGACTAGTAGTATTTCATTTTGACAGCAGCAACAACAATGGTAACAATAGCAATAGTGAAGCTTTGAACCTCAATTCCAGAAGGTGTCGGGATCAGTGTTTCGGAGTAGTTCGAGACCCTTTCACACTTCCAGCCGTGTGAATCCTATAAGCCCTGCAAAAGAGTAAACTTAAAAGCCTAAACCACACAAGGTTCTTGAAGAACGTCGAGGCCGACGAACTCAAGAAGGGCGAGACCAAGGTGGCTTGGGCGGAGTTTGAGGTCTAGAGTCTAGGGTCATATACGGTAAGAATATACAGGGCACAAGGTCATTGGTTTAGGGATGAGGTTGGGCAATCAGGAATTGGGATTTAGGGTTTAGTTCTAGGTGTTATGGTACAGCTACCGTGATGGGGGTAAGGGCCGAAGGGTTATTGAATTAGGAGTTTCTGCTTCAGGCGTTGCTGTTGTTGAAGGTGCAAGTCGAGTACGGAGCCCTGGTCATGCTCGTATGCTCATTATGCTCTAAACATGCCAGTCTCGATCCTGAAATCTCCAACCCAACCTTGTACCTTAAGCCTCGCTCCGAACGGTTTGTGAAGGCTTGCCAGTCAGTCGCATATGCTGAACCTGCGTGTGTGGGCGTCTGTTGTGTGTGTTTGTGTTTGTGTGTGTGTGTGTGTGTGTGTGTGTTTGTGTGTGTGTGTGTGTGTGTGTTTGTGTGTTTGTGTGTGTGTGTGTGTGTGGTGACGGTGTTGTGCGTTTGTGTGCTCGAGGGGAGGGGTTTGGCATCTTGCAAACTTTTGGCAGGAGTGCCATACCACAAAACCAAATAAATAATCCTACAAGCACGACTTGCGTAACCCTAAAACCCTATAAACCTATTCAGGTGATTCAGGATTACAAGCTCCAAGAGATCTTTCAAATCCTGCATTACCTTAATGACCCTAGACATTCATTTCTATCATAAGGACCCTTAGGCGGGTAAGGTGGAGGGGGATAGGGGACTATACTTCCTTAAATAGGCCGTATTAAGTCGTTATTATAGTACCTCACCCCCCCCTCTACCCCCTATGTATATTCCTTAATCAAGGGGCATTGGGTTCTCTGAGACCTCGACTCGAAATCCAAAGTTGGGGTAGCCTGAGGGCTTTAGAGCTAAGCGGCTTGAGGGTGGCCAAAATTGACAAAACTCTGGGTTTTATGTCCCTAAACCCTAAACCCTAAACCCTAAACCTTTTATGTCGGCTTGCAGTTGCACGGCCCCCCAAAACTCTGAACCATAGACCCCCTAAACCCTGAACGCCCTAAAACCCTAAAACCCTAAATCCTGAACCCTTAAAACCTTAAAGCCTAAACCCTAAACGCCCTATACTAAAACCTTAATTTACGTCCTAAACCCCAAAACCCTAAAAGCCTGAACCCTATTCGGAGGAGAAGTCCGCGAAGTTTGCCGAAGGCAAAGCGCAGAAGAAAGTCCCTACGTGGCTCACAGAGTTGGACAGCTCCTTGGCTCTGAGGCTGTAGGGTTTAGGATTCGAAGGTTTATAGGGCTTTTTAGGGTTTTTAGGGTTTTTTAGGGTTTAGGGTTTAGACAGCTCCTCGGTTCGAAAACAGGGTTTAGGGTTAGGATTGGATCAAGATCTTCAGGCTCTTGTCCAAACAGACGGTCGTCACGTTATGCTCCGCACCCTGCAACATGGTGAGCCGTAAATTCCTTAAATCCAAAACCCTGGACCACCAATCCCAAAGCCTGACGCAAAGAACGCCCGAAAACAACAAAGCCATAAATCCTAAAACCCAAAACCCCGATTGGAAAAACCTGGATGCTGGAACGGAGATCCCAAGCCAGAGATAAAGGGTTCTAAGAAGACCTGTAACACACTCTTCCAGACTCTTCCCCTCCACTCTGGACCAGCTTTTGGTCAGTATTGTGGTATCGCTCCTTCTCGGTTTGCTATAGTGTTGTTATAAGGTTTCTGATTCTGGAAGCAATATTCATAATTCAAAACCCTAAGCCCTACTTCACTAGCGGGATTCTACTGGTATTGCTAGGACCTGCCAGGGATGGAAACAAATACGGGGTCGCGGATCCGGCCTGTGAGCAGGTGGTCGTGTAGCCTTTTGGGACCTGTATGACCCCACTACAATTTCAAAGGCTAACCTGGAATGAATAAACCCTAAACCCTAAACCCTGGTTTGGATACATAAATAGGGCCGTTTCTTCTTGCTGGTTTAAGTATGAAATTCCTGACGAACGCGCGGACCACAGTCTTGACTGGGCCTCCAAGAACACCCTGAACTTGAAAGGGTAGGTTTCGTGGGGGGGGGGGGGGGGGGGGGGGCATAGAATTATGCAGCTTGCAAGAAAACGAGGATTTGGGGTTTGTTTAGGGCAGTCGCTGGATCATACGAAAGCCTTGAGGTTTGAGGAGATAATTAGACGGTTCAGGGTGGTAGGATGCATCAGAGTTTTGGCACCTGGAGGATTTGCGAGTTTAAGAATTCCGGTTAGGGTTTGGGGCTTTGTGGTTTCAGGTTCAGGGGTTTGGAGTTTAGGGTTCAGGGCTTTGGTTTCGGGGTATGTGCCGTAGGATTTCTGTAAAAGGATCTCATACTAGGTAACCGAAAAAAAAGTGAGTTGTCAGGTGTTCAGGGTTTAGGGATGTTTAGGGTTCACCCCAAACCCTCAACCCAATAAGGAGCCCTGAAAAGGCCGATTTGGGTTGGGGTTTCAGGACCCTCATAAGGGTGGTTGTCAATATTGGGGTCCTTTATTTTTGTAGGGTTTTTATTATAATACGGCACCTAATATAATTTTTAGGATACCCAAAAGGGGACCTTAATTTTGACAACTACCCATAAGTAGCCACTCGATGTCTAAAAGCTCAAAGGCCTTCCTCTGACCTCACTTCGCAGATCAGAGGATTCAGTAAGTACTATAGTATCCTTAAGAATCTGTTTCCATTTGTATTCATATAAAACCCACGAGAATCTTAAAAGGAGTATTTTTATTATGGTTCTAAGGGGGTATAGAGTAGGGCTACAACGGCTATATAAGTTACTTATATACTAACCCTGATACTGCAAGGCACTTAGAAGCTATAAGTGCTTTCTAGTATTAGGGTTGTATGTAGACATAACTGCAGCTGCCTTGCCTTTGTTCTGACTTGTAACCCTAACTACATCGCTTGATCCCGTAAGCAATCCCTAAACCCGTCCTCCACCTTTATGTGAGTGCATCAACAAACCGAGAAGTGTACCAAGCTGCATGGCCCCTGTCCGAGGTGCACAAACCGAGAAGTGTACCAAGATGGCGCACAAATCGAGAAGTGTACCAAGGTTATGCCACTGCGGATGGTGGCTCAAGTCACGAGTGAAAGAGAAGTTTGAGTAAGAGCATGCGTGCGGGTGTGGGTTCAGGCGTGAAGGCGAGGTTCAGGTCTGGGGGCAAGGTCAGTCCCAGGCAGGCTTGATGGCTTCTCCTGTACCCACCCACTATAGTAGGGTTAGTGGCTCTGAAGCATCCCCGCATGTGTTGACCCCACAATCACAGGTTATGCTAGCCCAACAAGACGCTTTACACAGTACTGCGGCAGCACAGCAAGACAACTATGGCTTGCTGCTTCGACAGCTGACAGAGATTCAGCTGTCGCATGACACATTGCAACGAATCACCAGTGCAGCCGATGACATGCAAGAGCTACAGAATGCGATGGGTTCAATGATGCAAAGACATGCAGTGCATGAGCAGCTCTTCTATGCAACCGATGATCACATACGACAGCTGTATGGTAAGCATGTTGCTCTCATGGATATGTTGCAAAAGTTCGAGCGGCAGCAGAGTCAACGTTGGCAGGACCATGTGACGCAGTACGAAAGTCAGCAAGCATCGTTGCGTGCAGTCATGGACAAGTTATCTCAGACAACTGTGGGCATGGATGAGTCTGGTCTTACATCGCTTAGGCGTGAGCTAGATTTACTTCATGAGGCAGTGGGATCTCTTCAATCTGATCATGCTGCCACGGATGCAAAGCTACATGAGTGTTTGGTTCGGCTTTCAGCGATAAGTGCCATCCCTGGATCGGGTGAAGGCTCTTCTTCAGCTGGGGCCCCGAGTCATCCTCAAGTGACCGAGCGCATCAGAGATGAGCTTCAGGGACATGCCAGACAGGCCGAGTTCTTTATGAAGCAACTACTTGAGGAACGTAGAGCACGCGAAGCTTTGGAGCTGAGGCTAGGCCAGGAAGCTGAGCAACGTAAACTTCTTGAATCGCGGATTTCACTCTTGGAAAGCAGTCGTTATCACATGAGCGCACCAACACGTGGAACACCAACCGAGTCCGTCCCGATGAGGGTTTCGTTGTCGCCTACGGTTACCAGAGAGTCAGATCAGTTAGACGAAAGCGATCCAGAGCAACAGTGGTGGTTTCAATCCGGCGGACCTCCCGGTTTGAGAGCCCCTCCACCTCCATTGCCAGAAGAAATGCGAAAGCAGACGGTAGAGAATCCTGCTAATCAGATGCGGCATGTGTTTGGCACAGCTCTCGGAGTGGATCTGAGTCAGCACTGCAATGCAGGGTCATCTCAATCAGCAGCTCAGGGCACCCAGACAGGAGGCTTTGTTGCTGAAAAGGGTTGTGAGCTTCCGGTAGCCGGCAACACTGGAGCTCCAGATGCAAACAAAGATGAAGGTAGAATCATCCCCGAAGGGCGGTGGAAGATGCTACGAGACATCCCTCAGCTGAACTTGGCAGTTGGCCAAGCTTGGGAGGCAGGGATCTACGTACAGTCATGGCACACGCAGTGTTCAACAATCTTTCACAGCATCGCAGAGTCTTTTGCAGAGTTTGCGGATAGGATGTGGAAGGCTGCTATGGTCATGTACAAACAGAAGTCCGAAAGCTTGATTATGCCAGTTCCGCCTATGATCAGTGCTGAGGACAAGGACTTTGAAGCAAGGTTGAGTGGCGCTCTCATGCGAGTAGTGCCGGAGGAAATCAAAGTATCAGCAATTGAAGGGGCGATGGGGCAGCTAGTTTCATCGGCTATGCTTTACATGGGTGTGCTGGCGAGGCTTCAACCAGCAGGTCCAGAAGAGGCATCTTCATTGTTGAGTTTCGTAAGGTCACCGCCGATTGCATCTAGTGCTCGCGAGCTGGAGGGTCTATTTAGACGGTACAGGCTGGCTTTGAGGAGGCTGGTGCAGTTGAGCATGCCAGAAGTTGCCCCAAGTGAGCAGCTGAAGGCATTGCAGTTGATGACCCGAACGCTTGAAAGGAAGTATCCTGCATTCCACATGCGCATGAACTTGTTGAGACTGTTCCCTGAATCCTCTACGCGGCCTACCAAGGAAGGTGTGGAACGATACTTTACAAGAGCAGGAACAACAGGAGTTCTATCAGGCTGCTGAGGGCGAGATCTCCAACATGCTGTCGAATGAGGTCTGGGTTGAGGTAAATGAGAACAGTACGGATGCTGAGTTGAGGAGGGCTTTAGGTTGGGGTGATGACGTTAAGAAGCGGGTCCCCAAGCCCATACCGATGAAACTGGTTCTTACGAAAAAGCCGGTGATTATGCCTGAAGACCTCATTTCGTCGGCAAGAAAGAATGGAGCTAAGGCGGCATCAGAGCAGGTGAAGAATTGTGCCTATAAACCAAGGTGTAGGCTTGTTGCCTGTGGCAACTTCCAGCGCAGTGATAGCACAGATTCCGCCGAGCTTAGCTCCGAAAACATTTCTGCAGAAGGAGTGCGCATGTTGTTCAATGAGCTTGCTTTTCACGACTCGTGGGAAGCTATGGCTTTTGATGTGTCATGCGCATTCTTGAATTCAAAGCTGCCTGTCGAAGAGCGGGTGCTTCTCCGTCCTCCTAATTCGCTGATCAAGCTAGGATTCTTCAAGCCTGGAACGTTACTTGCTGCACATCGTTCAGTCTACGGACTCCGTCGAGGCCCAGTAGACTGGCAGGATGAAAGGCAGGATAAACAAGCCAAGGTGGAGCTCCCTCCGGCGGAAGGCGACGAGCTCCCAGCTTTGGAAATCGTTGAAACCAGTTGTCAGGGACTCTACACGGTACGCGAGGTGGAGTCAAGAATCATCCGCGCAATATGTGCCATGTTCGTTGACGATGGTTTCTGTGTGGGTGAAAGGGAGGCCCTTTTGCGGTACGCAGAGCATGTCGACAAATGCTGGAAAACGAAGTTCCAGGGCATTCTGTCGCGACTGAAGGACCGGTCGCCTGCTATCCGAGGCTCTCTAAGCATCCCAATGATAGAGGAAATCACTTTCATAGGAGTACAAGTGACATTCCAAGCAGGCCTGGTGGCAACCAGTCAGCGGAAGTGGCTATTGCAAGAGTTGGACAGACGAGGTCTGACTCACCTGGCGGGGGTACAGTGCCTCCCCGATATCCCTGAAGGCAAGATCTTGCCACGCGAGCGCACTGATTCATATCAGCAGGAGCTTAAACTGGCGCAACAGGAGATAGGCAGCTTGCAGTGGATCGCATTGAAAACAAGACCAGACATCCAATCTACGGTAGGTCAGTGTGCCTCTCTTGCATCGCTTGATCCGAGCATTGCTTTGAAGGTCACGAAAGCCTTGTGGAGGTATTTGCGGGGAACCGCTGGAATGACACTTAACTACAAACACAGCGCCGATACCACGCTGTTGGGAAGCTCGGATGCATCATTCAGTCCAGGAGGTGGTAGATCCAGATCTGGCTCCGTCATCTTGTTTGGTGGAAATGCAATTGGCTGGAAGAGCTGTCGGCAGAGCCTTACCGCGTACAGTACTTGCGAGGCTGAGTGCGAGGCGATGGCGACATGCACAGGATTCTTGACAGACACAGCCGCGCTGTTACAAGAGCTCACGAACCGTCCCATCGAGATGCGCATGGAGAATGACAATTCATCGGCAGTGTGCCTTCTGACTAGAGCTAGGTTTACGGTGCAAGGTTGGCGAACGCGCCATTATGCAATAAGAGCTGCATGGACACGCGATCAGCATGAGCATCACGCTGTGAGCCTACAACATGTACCGGGAAAAGAGCTGGTGTCAGACATGCTGACGAAGTCGTTGAATCGAGCTAAGCTGGAGCAGCACGCTGAAAAGATTGGCTTGACCAGAGGGCGAGTAGGAGATTGAAATGAGGCGTGGAAAAGCCACTGCTTAGTACAGCCTATGCATGTTTTTGTCCAGCACTCCGGAGGCGAACATACCATCAAAGCTGGAATGTTCGAGGAGGAGTGTGAGTGCATCAACAAACCGAGAAGTGTACCAAGCTGCATGGCCCCTGTCCGAGGTGCACAAACCGAGAAGTGTACCAAGATGGCGCACAAATCGAGAAGTGTACCAAGGTTATGCCACTGCGGATGGTGGCTCAAGTCACGAGTGAAAGAGAAGTTTGAGTAAGAGCATGCGTGCGGGTGTGGGTTCAGGCGTGAAGGCGAGGTTCAGGTCTGGGGGCAAGGTCAGTCCCAGGCAGGCTTGATGGCTTCTCCTGTACCCACCCACTATAGTAGGGTTAGTGGCTCTGAAGCATCCCCGCATGTGTTGACCCCACAATCACACTTTATACCAAGTCCCCGCAACCCTAAACCCTAAACGTGTTTATCGAAGGTCTTGGGCTGGTCGACAATGAGATGTACTCCCAGTTTATTCAAACAGCGGCCTCTCGCCAGCGTTGGCTTTTCTTATGACTCATTGTTGGTATCATTTCCTGTTTGTCCATGTGCAAAACGGCAGTACAAGTAATACAAGATACTAAGACCCCGAGAGCTGTCTAATTGTTGTATTCTTACTCTCGGGTTGAACCCTAAACCCTAAACTTATAGTATCCTTCTGGGGGGGCCCCAACGCGGGTAGATAGCCTACTACTGCCCAGCTCTCTCTAGTGCTCCCTAAGGTTCCCTTAAGGTTCCCTAAGGATCCCTCGCACCCTCCCCCGTTGAACCACCCTCCCTTAAATAGCCTAAACCCTAAACCTCAGGTGGGGATCCAATTTGAAAGACTGTGGCTCTTGAGACCTCAACAAGCCCTGACAAGTTAGGTCTACTAGAAACCCAAAACCACCGAAACCCCGAACCCCAAACCCCTGAATCCCTAAACCCTAAACCTTAAACCGAAACCCTACCCAACCCAAGACATTTGAGACCCGCAACCACGAACGGTACCTGAGGGAACATCCCAGAAGTAAGCACCCAAACGTAAACTTTCGGGTGGGATATCCCTATCTTATTGGCTTAATCAGAGTGGGGATTCCGGGATATCCCAACCTTATGGTTCTTGTTTACGAGGTCCTTTTTTCGGGTCCCTATTCTAGACCCCTGATGAACAAACCCCTTCTCCCGTTACAGGGCTAGTAACAGGGATCTTAATATGAAGGAGTAGCAATCCCCCGTTTTACAGTGGGGATCTTTATGTTAAGGCTCTTAAAATAGGGGGGTTACTTAAAGGATCAGGGGACTTAGTAAGTAGGGTTACAAGTGAGGCAACTCTAGTTATTTCTACGTATAACCTTAATTAAGGTACTTATAACCTTACTTACTAAGTCCCATGATCCTCCAAGTAAATCCTCAGCCCTAAACCCTATAGATCCCTTTAAGGAGCCCCCTTTTGATCCCTTTATGGAGCTCTCTCAAGAACCCTACTTACTAAGTCCCACAATCCTCCAAGTATGAGTGAAAGAGATTCCTCGACTCCGGGCACCCTCCAGCGAGGTGCAGAAGCGCGACCTCGATGAGGCCCACTGGCGAAACGAAGGGCCCGAAAGTTTCAATTTTGTTCGGGCTTCAGTGTTTACGGTTTCAGAAGCAAGGATAGAATTCAAGGTCAGAATTCTAGGTTTCTGTTGAGGGTTTGTTGTGCAGGAGGCTGTTTCACTTTTATATCTAAGATGTGTGGCATGCTCTCTTGGGTGTAGATCGGTGTAGATGGTGAGTTCAAACTTTTCCTGATTCTCGGGCTCTGCAGCTTTCCTTTGCGCAGTGGGATTTGCGGCTTCGGGCATAGGGTTTTAAGACAGAAATCTCGATAAGCAGCGCGTTACAGTACTTTTCTCTAGTTTAACCGGAACTTGTTCCTTGTTCGAAGGGGGTTTCACTTTGCGAGTTGCCAACACCTGCTGAAGCAGGGATCATGTTGGCATCCTTCGAACATATCTATCGGCTGTATAGAGGGCCACCCAAATACCTAGCCCCCGAATCCCTTAAACCCTAGACCCCCACCCTTACTGTAACCCGAGATCTAGCCTAGCCCCTACTATAGGGCGTAAATGATTACCTATACTTTTTTATGTGTATAATGATAACATAATCGGCCCCAAAACCCTACTCTAATAATTAAGGTCCCTTTACTGATTACACCTTCAAGCTCAAACAAGCCCCAACCTTGCATCGACTTTTGCGAAAATCGCTACTCGCTGACTGTTTTACAGGAGCTGTGGGCAGCAAGGTCAGCTTCCAAGCACTCCCGAGACAAAACAAACACGCCCGGGGAACACCCCACGCCCTGTAGTAGTTCCCAATGTAAAGCCAAAGCTCTGGATCCCAAGAAGCCAGGAAGAATCCCTGCAGCATTCTCTAAACCCAACTCCTTAATTAGCCCTTCATATAGAAGCCTAAAGAATGATTAATTAATACTGCCCCTTGAAGGTTCTAATCATACTATAGGTAATCATTCAGGCCCTGGTTGCCTTAGCAACCGAATCCCTAAAGGATCCCTTGAAAGATGGGGGCCCCTGTTGTCGGCCCAACCCCAAACCCTCAGAGACCCTGAACCCCAAACCCACGGCTAGGCTCGCACCTGGGCAGAGAAAGCCCGGGCTGAGGGGTCCCCCCTCACCGAGGAGGATTTGAGGCGGCCGGGAGTGGGTTTCATGATTTCGGTTGAGGTTGTGAGGTTTAGGAGTTGTGGTTTCGAGTTTACGGGTTCAGGGTGTAGTGCTTCCAGAAGGTTTTGTAGAGATCTTGTTTCAGGTGTCGTACAGGTTTTGTGCGAGGTTGTGTTGGGTGTGCCATAGAGGGCTCCATAAACAGGCTCTTTTTCCCAAAAGGCTTCTTTCTAGGGCAGGGAAGAGTGATCAATGCAGGGCAGGGGATACGGAATAATAATGAATAGTTGATGGTGTGGAAGGCACCCTAAACTGCCCTAAACCCTAAACCCAATAAGATGTTCCTACTAAGGGAAGGGGGAAGATAGGACCGTGGGGTGAGTGCCGGTGTGTGTTCGGGGCTTCTTTCTGTGTCTTTGCTCGGGGCTTGCCGGGTTTCAATACAGCGTGTCGTCTAAACCCTCAACTGTTCCGCTTCGTGACAGTCCGCATGACGGATTACATAAAACCTGAATCCTAAACCCTAAACCCCTAAACCCCTAAACCCCTAAGCCCGAAACCCTAAACCCCTAGAGCCCTAGAGCCCTAGAACCGTAGAACCCTAGAACCCTAGAACCCTAGAGCCCTAGAACCCAAAACCCAAAACCCTTTTAGCTTCTGTTTCTGGGTTCAGTATTTTGGGACTTTGGGTTTCGTGGTTGAGTGCTGTACCCGCAGAGTCTTAAGTCGAGCTTCTGTCTTTGGTGTAGACGGAGGTAGCGCTTATTATTATTATTATTATTATTTTTGTTATTATTATTAATTTATATTATTATTATTATTAGTATTAGCATTATTCCCGAAAGCATCGCGAAGGGTTCTTCCGTGTGGAACGCCGCAGCTGAGTACATAGATGACAGACATAGAATCAACTTACTTGACTCCATACTTTAGTCTACACTTGATACTTGACTCTACACTTGATACTTACTTACTTACTTGACCCCTATTTTGACTGACTCTCTACACTTGACACTTGACTCTATGATACTTGACTCTACACTTGATACTTGACTCTATGTTATGCTTACGACTTACTTACTTACTTACTTCTTAATCTACTGCCTAACTTACTTGACACTTGACACTGGACTCTATGTTATGCTTACTATACTTACTATACTTACTACTTACTGACTTACTTACTTATGATTACTTACTTATGACTGACTCTCTATGCATCTATTTGCATCTATGACTTACTATGACTTATGACTTATGACTTATGACTTACTCTCTACATCTCGGTATCTTAATATTTCTTTTAAAGGCGGGGGTGGCACCGTCGGGGTCCATCGGGAATGCAACCCTTCACATGGATTCGCCTCCTCGGGCGTTCAAACGCGAGGTAAAGTTACACATTTTGCGGTGCCCGCGCAACCCTTCACAGGGATTCGCTGCCTCGGGCGTTCAAACGCTAGGTAAAGTGACACATTTTAGGCGCACCGCGCAACCCTTCCCAGGGATTCGCTGCCTCGGGCGTTCAAACGCTAGGTAAAGTGACACATTTTAGGCGCACCGCGCAACCCTTCACAGGGATTGGAACTCTCGGGCGTTCAAACGCGAGGTAAAGTTACACATTTTAGGCGCGCGGGTGAACCCTTCACAGGGATTCGCTGCCTCGGGCGTTCAAACGCGAGGTAAAGTTACACTTCTTGCGGGCGCCGCGCAACCCTTCACAGGGATTCGCCTCCTCGGGCGTTCAAACGCGAGGTAAAGTTACACTTCTTGCGGGCGCCGCTCAACCCTTCACAGGGTTTGGGTGCAGTTCAATTTTTTTTGCAACCCTTCACAGGGATTTGCATTTTGCAACCCTTCACAGGGATTGGCGTGGTCGGGTGTTCGAACGCGAGGTAAAGTTGCATTTTTTGATTTGCATTGAAATGAATTTTGCAACCCTTCACAGGGATTGGCGTGGTCGGGTGTTCGAACGCGAGGTAAAGTTGCATTTTTTGATTTGCATTGAAATGAATTTTGCAACCCTTCACAAGGCTTGGCGTGGTGGAGTGTTCGAACGCGAGGTAAAGTTGCAATTTTTGATGAGCATTGAGATGAATTTTGCAACCCCTCACAGGGATTGGCGTGGTCGAGTGGTTGAACGCGAAGTAAAGTTGCAATTTTTGATGAGCATTGAGATGAATTTTGCAACCCTTCACAGGGATTGGCGTGGTGGAGTGTTCGAACGCGAGGTAAAGTTGCAATTTTTGATGAGCATTGAAATGAATTTTGCAGCCCCTCACAGGGATTGGCGTGGTCGAGTGGTCGAACGCAAGGT